GCCATGAGACACTAATTAAAAAGAATAAATATTAGAACCAAAATATAGATATGAAGAAAAGATCGTATTACGCAAAAAACGCTTCTTACGTAAATTTCTTACGCCCTTCTCTGTCTTTTGTTCGGTCACAAAATACGTACAAGTCGGGGGACCTTAATTATTTCCGCTTTCTGCATTTTCTTCTTAGCAATTTACAAATTCTGTTACTTTTATGGTAATAATTCCGTGTGGATTTGTGTTTGCGCGTGTGTATCTTTGTGTATATGTGTTGCTGTTTGAGTGTGTGAGTGTGTGTGTGTGTGTGTGTGACACCTACATAACATGCATACAAATACGCACACACTATCTATCAGTACTACACATCACGTACCAACACCCAACACACTAGTACAGTTTTTCTTACTGTAACACCTCTAAACCAACAATCAAGTGTACAAGGCTAAAGTACTCTATTTTCTTACTGACTACCGGCTACTTAAATCACCACTCGCCTCCCCCCACCCCACAGCATCACCTCCCCCCCCCCATCACTCCTACTCGTTATTCCTGGTTAAGGGAAAATTAACTTTCACTCAAACCTGGTATGGCTTTCGCTTCGGGTTAGTTATACGAAATTTGCGTTTGTAAATGACGCTGTTTGTATGCTGGTATGTTGGAGAGCCAATTTTACTCTTGTTCTTATTATTTGTTTGCTATTATAACAGCAGCAATAAGGCTAAACACAATGATGATTTTAATGGTGAGGATGATTGTTATTATCATTATCATTATTATAATAATGATAATAATAATCATTATTATCATTATTACTCCTACTACTACTACCTACCACTACTATCATTATTGTTATTATTATCAATTTTGTTATTATTATCATCACTGTTTTTATTAATATCACCGTTATTGTTATTATTATTATTATTATTATTAATTATTATTATTATTATTTATTATTATTATTATTATTATCATTATCATTATCATTATTATTATTATTATCATTGTTATTACTATTATTATCATTATTATTATCATTATTATCATTATAATTTTTATTGTCATTATCATTATTACTATTATTATTATTGTTATTATCATTATCATCATCATTGACGTTGTTCTTATTCCAGTTGTTGTAATAATTATCGTTAAAATCAATTTATTATTATTGTTATTATTAACATTATTACTATAATTATTATCATTATTATCATTACTTTTATTATTATTCTCATCATCATCTTCATCATTACTGTTTCTATTGTTGTTGCTGTTGTTGAAGCTGTTATTTTTGTAATTGATGCCATTATTGTTTAGCGTATTTTTTTCGTTATTAGTAGTATATTCATTCTAATTTGTGTTATTATTATAAATATTATTGCTTTTTTAATCATGATCATGATCAACGTTATTATTACTATTATTCACATGATTATCGTTATCATTACTATTATCATGATTATCATCATCATCGTCATCATTATCATCGTCATTGCTATTGTTATTATCATTATCATTCTCAATAATATTCATGTGATATTTTGCTTGATATCGATTGTACTGTGACTAATTTTGGATAAAGTGACTACAAATTTCAATTTCGTTTATGTCGTTAACGTGACTTTGGTATCGTAAACATAATTTGAATAAAACTCTTGGCCATTTTACAGATATATTTACACATCCATTCATACACTAATCGATTCAATTACGATACCTCGAATTAAAAAAAAATCTTTTGAACCACTACAAGAGAATAAAAGAGAGAAATGCAAGTCATGGTAAATTCATTAAGAGGTAAATAACCGTGAAGAGGAGGACGTGCTCGCCACAGGCAAAGCTCTACATGGAGGAGAGAGAGAGAGAGAGAGAGAGAGAGAGAGAGAGAGAGAGAGAGAGAGAGAGAGAGAGAGAGAGAGAGAGAGAGGAGAGAGAGAGAGAGAGAGAGAGAGAGAGAGGGGGGGGGGGGAGGGAGAGGGAGAGAGGAAGGGGGAGAAAGAGAGAGACAGAAAAAAGGGAACGGCGTCTAAGAGAGGAAGAACGAGAGAATGAGTTAGAGAGAGAGAAGACATAAATGAAGTGGAAAGAAAGACAGATAAACAAAGGATTAAAGGTTAGGGGAAAGGAGGAGGAAGTAAGAAATGGAGGAAAAAGGGAGAACTTAAAAGAAAAGGAGAGGGAAGGAACAGAAAAAAATAGAAGGGCAGTGAGCGGCAAGGAAAGAAAGGAGGGAAGCGAGGAGAAAGAACAAAAAGGCTTGGAGGGAAGAGAGAATGATGTCGGAAAGAGAGGGGGGAAATAGGAAATATTAAATAGGAAGTTAAAAGGAGAAGAAATCGGTGCACAAACGCAGCTTGTTTTGTGCCGACCTGAGATGGTTACAAGTGAATTTCATTAAAATAAAGAGATAGTTGGATGTATACAAATCATATATTCGAACCATACGTGAACGCACGTTCTTTCAATTAGTGATATGCAAGAAAAGATATACAAACACTAGAAGAGAGAGGGGGGGGGAAGGAGAGGAAAGGAAGAGAAAGAGAGAGAGAGAGAGGGGGAAGGAGAAGAAGAGAGAGAAGAGAGAGAGAGAGAGAGAGAGAGGGAGAGAGGAGAGAGAGAAGAGAGAGAGAGAGAGAGAGAGAGAGAGAAAGAGAGAGAGAGAGAAGAGAGAGAGGAGAGAGAGAGAGAGAGAGAGAGAGAGAGAGAGAGAGAGAGAGAGAGAGAGAGAGAGAGAGAGAGAGAGAGAGAGAGAGAGAGAGAGGAGAGGAGAGAGAGAGAGAGAGAGAGAGAGAGAGAGAAGAGAAAGAGAGAGAGAGAGAGAGAGAAGAGAGAGAGAGAGAGAGAGAGAGAGAGAGAGAGAGAGAGAGAGAGAGAGAGAGAGAGAGAGAGAGAGAGAGAGAGAGAGAGAGAGAAGAGAAAAAGAGAGAGAGAGAGAGAGAAAGATATCACAATCACATACATATCAATCATACCCTTATACACACACACTATATCTTAATACAATATCAACAGAAACTGAAGTAAATTAATCATACCACTTTTCTTTACCCAAAAGAATAATTTAAAAAAGACACTCATACATCACAATATCTCGCCGCAGGACTATCATACCCCTTAGCATATCATTATACAACAGTGAGCCATACTTGAAACTGTTAGAATACATACATCATACAGGAGTTATCGTGCCATGAAAATGCGACATACTTTTTGAATGAAGTTCAGAGAAAAATAAGCATACGTGTTTTCTAGGAAATCAAGAGCAGGAAATGACTACGATTATTTTGAACTCTAATTCATAACATTGTCAGAATGTGAAAAAAAATAATCATAGAATATTTTGTATTTGAACACATGTTCGTGAAAAGAAAACGAGTAAAATTTGGTTCATGGAAAGTAAGAAAGCTTTAGTAACTTTCCATCCCCGTCTTTACTTGTTTAGACTATATAATGTTTTCTTCATTTACTTGCTCAATATCCTTAAATCTAATCATATGATTAGTATTTGTTCTATTTACTCATCATAGGCACAGGATAGAGGTACGGCAGCCGTATTCACTTCTTCATTTTCTAGAGTTACGGCAGTCCACTACGCATGCGCATAATCTGGTCACTATGACATTTACTTACGTTTGATGAGGCCTTTTCCCATTTCCAACCTAACCTAACCTAACCAACCTAATCTAGGCTAACCAACCTAACCTAACTGGCTGGGTTGGTTAGTAAAGTTAGGTTTGCTTGGTTAGGTTAGGTTAGATTAGGTTAGACTGGTTAGGTTAGGTTGGTTATCCACGTCACCCGCTTTTTTATAGGATGTGAAAACGGAACCCAAACATGCACGCGCATGCTCAAAAGGCACAAAAGCTTGGTGATGATTACGGCTGCCGTAACAACAGACAGTGCGTTTTTTATATGCGCTCTTTTTATTCCTATTGAATTATTACCTAATGTCACTGTAGTCCTTTTTTGTTATTCATTTTGTATCTATATTTAGATCGTCTATCATTTCTTTCAGTTTCTCTTTTTATCTGCAGGATATATTCAGATCACAATCTTAGAGATACATCTTCAAAACTTTCCAATGATCATTGTCACAAAACACAGCAAAATGATAGGTACCAACGCGGCATTGAAATCTCCACGAGCTCGAGGGAGTTACGCAGATCTCACAAAGATAAGGTTTGCTATTTTAAAGAAGGTGTGAAATAGACAGAAAAGTTATTAATTGAACTATCTGGTTTGCTCATTAGGTCTGTACCCAACATAGACTTTACTTACTCTTATAAGTCGTTGTCTGCACCTCATCGTATATTTATGGTTACATTTACACACATCTGTATATATTGCAGTATATATTACAATATGTATATATATACATATTTGTATGCATATGATCTTAAATTCATGTATGTGCCTATATATGAATATAGGGATTACATGCATTACTATTTAAGGTATACCTAATCTAATGATAAATACGTAAGTTACCCCTATACATTTGTCGTTCTCTTCCGCGAACTATTTTCCCATTTTCTATATCGCTTTTCAGGGCTAACCTTACAAATTTTACCAATGAACACAAATGTATCTAAATTTAGAATACACTATAGAGAAAAGATGTATATAAACATTTTAATCAACATTTTTCTGCACTGATCGTTAATGTAATAACTAAAATAGATGGCCACTTATATTACCATCCAACCTACGTCCGGTCTTGGTCTCGTAGGAGAAAGAATGAGCTTAATCGCACTGCCAGACGTTTCATTTGCTTTTTGTACATGACGTTATATTATGAAATAGTATCATTGTGAATACCACAAAATAAGCTAAATACCGTGATTAAATTACCTGATCGTAGTAAACAAATGTTATTGATACGACGGTATCTGAAATCTGGCCGAATATTGAAGCGCGCGCAGTACGACAGTATCTACCAGCACGTGCGCTGCCAGGTTGTGCGTGTTTGTTTACGTCGTGTCAGTGGCCGTTGACTGAGCGTAGAAGTCGAGTGTGGGCGGACTCTTAAGCCACTAACTGAAACGTTGGCAGAAAATGTATCATACACCCAATTATGTCGGATAGTGTAGTGAAAAACGAACATCATGGTGTTTATATGGAGATCATATTTAGATTTCAATATTGAACTAGGGGCAGTGTTGTATGTAACACACTTGATGTCATTAAGGTATTGTGTGTAATAAACTCATCAGTTCGCGTAAGATCCACTTACAAAATAAGAGAAAAGTTCATATTAGCCAACCGAAATCAAGCAGACGCGAATTAACATCGGACTCTAAGTGTGTGTACGAGATATAGAGGGATTCAAAGAAAAAACACACACCAAAAAAAGGAAATAAATTCATTGGACATGATCCATTGTGACGATTTAACGTAAATCACCCAGCATTATAAACTCCTTCGGCCTCAGTCACGACTCCTAAACTGACAATCCCTCTATATTTGACCTTACCGTGACCCAAGATGAAAATGAAAGACAGCAGGTCGTCGGGGGAAGCCCTGGGAAGCCAGGGTAACCTAGGAAACGGCGCTGGGTCACCCACTAAGATGTCAACCCTGGACTACCTGGTGACGAAAATGAGACGCCATGTCAGGTCATCCTCAGCAGATTCAAGCCCCGCCAGACCCGTTATGTAAGTGGCACAGGGAGCGAACAACAACACGCTTGTATGTACTTAGTTAAGGGACGGAGATAATGAAAGTAATCATGATTAGTTTACATAGTGCTGATAATTATGATAATGATTAAAGTAGCAATGGTGATGGTGATGATGAAAGGAATGATGATGTTAGAACAACAAAGTAGTAAATAGGAATGAGATTAGTGATAATCATTATTAAAAAGATGGTTACAAGATGATGTCAGTTATGATATTAGTAATGCTGGTGATAGTAAAAGTAACGATAACATGAACAGCAGTGATAGATATAAAGACTTTAATGACAATTTACTTCAGTCGAATATTAAAAGTAGATTGAAATTATCCAGTAAAATATTTTTTTGCATCTAATGTTTTCTACTCTGCAGACTATAATAGGAAAACCAGCAGTGTTGAAAATTCCATTGGCATTCCCTATCGCCATGTAACAGGATACACACTGCATAAAGTAATTACCGGCCAATATAGTTCGATCGTCATTTTATATGAACAGGATATGTGAATAACGAAACGATGGCATATTGACCGTCATTTGAATGCTGTTTTGAATTAGCTTTTGTGTTTGCTTTGATTATGATGTATATACATGTGGTAGGATCATCTAAGGCCCGTGTTTGGTTTTAGTACTTGGACGTTGACACCATACGATATATATATATATAATATATATATATATATATATATATATATATATATATATATATATATATGTATGTATGTATCTATGTATGTATATGTTAACGAACTAGATTACGTGTATATATTGTTAGACATGCATATCCCTATATACGCACACACTTGCACTCCAACGCACGCTCAAAGACTCGGGTATGCACACATTCACGTAAGAACGATGTCCATAGACACACACACACACACACACACACACACACACACACACACACACACACACACACACACACACACACACACACACTCACTCACTCACTCACTCACTCACTCACTCACTCACTCACTCACACACACACACACACACACACACACACACACACACACACACACACACACACACACACACACACACACACACACACTCACTCACTCACACCTGACTGAAATTTGTTAAACAGAAAATTCGATTCCCTATCTCTCAGTACCACATACTGACAGCCACAACATTTCCTTCAGAAATGTTTAGAATCTAACTTGATTGACAAAATTGCAGAATTTGAAGACGTAACATGACCCGGAATTAACCTTCTGGTGCGTGACTTACGGATATTCTCACTCTTTAACTGTCATGGGAGCAGAAAACGTTCACATCATCGCCATAAAAATCAATGTTATGGAATCATCTTGCCTCCTGTTACAGTGGCGATGACACGGCATTGACAGTGAACAGCGATGCATGGACCATGTGGCGAACGAATTATGATTATTATTACACACAGGAATATATACTTATGTACACACAGACACATACACACACGCACGCACACACGCACGCATACACACACGCACGCACACACGCACGCATACACACACACGCGCGCGCGCGCGCGCATATATATACATATATATTATATATATATATATATATATATATATATATATATATATTTATATGTATGTATATATATACATATATATACATATGTATACATATATACATATATATAAACATATATTTACATATATACATATATATAAACATATATTTATATATATACATATACATATATACACATACACATATATTTACGGATTAATATACATACATAGATTGATAGGTATAGATAAATATGTAAACGCACAAATATGCACACGTATTTCCCTTTTACATGCATTTATGTACGTTATTTTATGCGTATCTTGTACAGCTCTGCATCTACAGGTATTTGGGAAGTATTTCGAAGTTTCTTACCTTTCCTTCATGTTTATCCCAGACATTTGATTGTACATTATAGCTGATCACGAACGGCCATCTACAACACTGTCCATGATAATAACTAATAGACGTGCCATTTTGTTGTAGCAGCCGAATGGTAAACTTAGATATGGATCACTATCTATTTCATTTAGCAAGTTGAAGTCTCCGAAGACCATATTGAAACCAGTAGAAACAGTCTTGTAACTAGAGTAAATTTTGACTGAAATAATTGGAAATGTATAGAATACGAATAAGGGAAGAGATAGGAAAAGATGTAGAGAAGTAAAGAGAAAGAGAGAGTCCCCGTGATATTAACCATTACGGAATTTCTATTTCACGGTTACGGGGCTACGCTCAAGGTTTTCTTTGGTACTGAATCGATCACCGTTCTTATAGAAGGCATTATGGAATACGAACTTGTTGAAATACGTCAATGGAAACTATTTGTGATATAAAAGAATATATATATGATATTTCGAGTGAAGTTATGTTTTCATTTCTTCTTAGATTATATAATCCTCCATGAAAGCGATCTTAGCTTAAGTCAGACGTTTAATTTCCATATTCGGAATGTAGATTTTTTCGGTAATCAGTTAAGCAGCTACTTTCACTGAGAGAAGTGAAAACAAAGCATGTAACTCGATAGCACCATCTGACTAGTGAAACTTACTACTTCT